TCCATACCTATCAGTTCACAAATACAGTTTATAATCTCTCATTTGAAAACAGAAAGAAAATAAAATTCTCTCTTGATTCCAAATTTCCCTCTAGCCACTACCCCATTTATTTGATTTTTATAGTCAAATATATTTAGAGATTTGTTATTTATGATGCCTCCACATGTTTATTTATGAAACTACTGTCAAGGACATCAATTCTCTCCATGATGCCACATCCAGTAGCCCCTTATATTCTTCAGTTTGCTGGATGTCCCTAAAAGATTCAACATTGTTCCTATCTCCCTTTTGTAAAACACTCTCATATATGACATCCCTCTCCCTTAGTTTTTATCTCATCTCTCTGGTTGCCACTTCTGCATCTCCTTTCCTGGCTTTTAATCCTCTACTTGACTGTTAAATTTCTTCTCTCTCTCTCCACTCCCTATTTAGATAGTCTCATTCATTTCCATGGCCTTAAATATCATTCATATGTTGACAACTCCAAAATTTATATCCATAGCATTGCATGTTCCTCCAAACTTTAGTCACTTGCTTACTTTCCATCTCCATTTGGGTGTCTCACAAGAATCTCAAATTTAACATTTCAAAACTGAATTTTTTCACTACTTATCTCTCCAGTCCCTGCCCTATAAGACGCCTCTCCCCCTAAATCTTACCAATCTCAATAAATGACACTACCTCCTCTCATTTGCATAAGAAAAAGCGTAGGAGTCATCCAATCCATTAGTAAATCCTGTTGATTTCACTTCCAGAATATATCTTGAATCTGTCCACTTTTTTCCACATTAGTTCACAATTCTATCATCTCTCCTGACTTACTGCAATACCTCTCCTGACTTACTGTAATACCTCTGCTGACTAAAGCAAAGAAAGTCTCTTTGCTTTCTCTGGTAATCTCTTGTAACTCATCCTCCAGAGTGATCTTTTAAACACAAACCAGACCACAAACTCTCTCACTTAAAACTCTCCAATAGCTTGATGTTTCACTTTGAATAAAATCTAAGGACCTTGCTTTGGCCTGTAAGATCTTGCATAGTCTGGAGCCTGTTCTCCTCTCTCCTTATTCATACTACTCTCTCTGTTACCATGAAAGCTTTCTTTCAATTTCTTGAATATGTTATAGGCATTGTACATACTGTTCCTTCTTCATTGGCTTCATTAGCTTCTTTCATGGATATTTCCCTTTCATCTTGCAGGTTCTAGTTTAAATGTCACTTCCTCAGTGAGTCCTTCCTGAATTATTCTCTCCAAATAAGTCCCCCCTTTCTATCCTATCCCTCCACCCTTATTCTGTCTGCTTTTATAAATAATCCTTCCCTTTGGCAATTACATTTTTACTGGCTATTTTCTTGGCTTCTTTATAATACTGTAAACTCAATGAGAGCAGAGATTATATCCATTTCATCTGTCACTTGAACAACCAACAACTAGCACAAATTCTGGACTTAGTAATTACTTGCTAAATAATGAATATCACAGAAAAAGATAGAAAATGTAATGAAAATGTCTGACCCTTATGGAGTCTTGCACTATAGGAAATTTCATGACTATAAATGAAAGTTTTATTCAAGATTTTAAGCATTTGTCAAAATGGATGGAGGGCACTATTTTTGAGAAAGAGTCAGATATATATAGCCTATTCTGTACTCCAGTGCCTTTCAAATTCTCTATGATGAATTTCCAATCTGTGAAACTTTTTAAAGTAAAACAATAAAATTAAATTACTAAAAGCATGAACTAAAAACAATAACAAAATATAAGCCCAATTATTTTATTATTAGTTTCAAGAGACACAAAAGTTTTCTGTCAAATTTCTATGAAACTTCCTAAACAGTTGTTGTCAATGTCCATACTTTTCTCACTGAAGACCAGTAACAAACACCTTGAGACTAGTACTGGTTTGAGAACCTTACTTCAAGTAGGGCTGGTTTACTCCACCATCCTTCTGTTTGTGATTAGTTTAAGGTAGTATATTTCAAAGCTTCAGTTATACTTTGTTTGGTAGGACTACCAAACCTACTGCAGGACACTTAGCATCCTAGCCCCAGGACGCTAAAAGCCAGTGGCACCACCCTTTCCAGTTATTGTCCAAACCAACACCCTCCCCACCTCCTATCCTCTCATACACATTTCTAGCTGCTGGAGGAAGGGTCAGTAGCACCATGATTCAGAACCACTGTGGGAGTTGGTGGGGACAAGTGTTCTGTCAGATACTCAGTAGGGTTTAGAGTAGGCCCTATGGCTATCAGTCTGGGGAGGACTTGAGTCTTAGTACTTGTTCAGGAAAACTAAGCAGCTGTGGTCATGAATATAAATTGGAGGGTGGGAAAAAATCCTTTCCAAATTAAGCCTGTTATTTTTGTTTCCCACACATTTACTTGATTTTGAAATGGGTGATAGTGGGAAGGAAAAGTCAGATGCTATCACTGGGATGTTACAGAGAAACCAATTGGTTGTTGAGATTCATATTAGTAGCTGGGTTAGTGTAGGCTTTTTTTTTTTTTTTTTCCTTTTTGTCTTTTTTTGTGTCCGGCAACGGATCGCAACCCTCGGTGTTGCGCCCGCACCTCGCTCAGCCAGTGAGCGGGAACCGGTCTGTATGTGGGATCCGAACCCTCGGCGGGAGCGCTGCCGCGCTCCCAAGCGGCGCACTGTAGCAGTGCGCCACTGGGCCGGCCCTAGTGTAGGTTTTTATCAGAGTGCTGCATATATTATTTCCATCACAGCTAATGTGTTTCTCTTAATTCTCCTAACTCACTGTTTTGCCCTAAAACATTTTGCCTTACCACTTTGCCGCTCATCCATTTCCACATCCTATTCTCAGTATGTCTATTTGATCCCGTTGGCACAGTGCAATGCTATGTATGGACATAAATAGAAGGGGAGGAAGAAAGATATACTGATCATTATCTATCCACCTTTGACTTAACAAGTCACCAAGCTTGTTCCCCTTGTATTATGCCTTGTAATATTGGTTATAAGAAGTTTGTTACTCGTTCCATTTCAGGAATGCCCATGTTATCTGAACACAGGAGTAGGTTTTTATAGTAGCTAGAAAGCAGCAGAAATACTTCTAAATCTTTCATCTCAGAACTTAACATCCCTCACACTCCAAAGGTTCTCATCTTCCTGAAGATGAAGGAAAAGTGATTTGACGTGTCTTGCTTGTGTGCTACTGTTGGTGTTTCCAAAGGCAGGTGAATGCCTCAAGGTGAATTTCCCCATAATATGAAGGTATTTCAAAAAGTTCTGGAAAGATTTGTATTATCTTTTAATTCAATTTGTCCATGAACTTTTTAAAAGTACCCTCATAAATGGCATACTACTCAATCTCAAGGGTGAGTTTAATTCTAGTCCAGTTCAATTCCAGCCCTACTTCAGAAATGAAGATTTAAATTTAGTCCATATCTTTATGAGCCATGAGTTTTTAACACAAAAAGGAATCATCCTTTATTCTGAAAGCAGTCTGTGTCACTCATTTACTTATGTCACCTTATACAGCCAACACATACTTGAAGTCTAGATTGAACTGGCTTCTCAATATTCTTCCAACTAGGAATAACTTATGGTCAATTGAACTTCTTGGCAGGACACTGGACTTGAAATTCTAGCATTGGAGTGGCTACAGGGATAGGTCTTGGGTTTGGGGAGTGAGTGATGTTAGTTAAAGCTGTTTATGTCAAAATGTCTAATGCTTTGGCAGACTACAGTTCCTTTCATGTTTCCTTTTCCTTTCCTCTGCTTCCTCACTTTCCTTCCCAAACCCAGGTAGTACAGCTTGCACAGTGTTAGAAAGGCATTGGATTTGCAGATAAGGAAAAGTGATTCTAGAAAATAGGGAGGTAAGAGGGGCAGTACGGTTAGCTGCCACTCTATCTTCTTTTTAAGCTTTAATACTCCAGTGGGAATTAGTCACAAACTCCCTGTCTTTTTAGGTTAAATTATTTTTGAATTTTTAAAACCTGCAGGGGGTGGGATAAACACAGATTTAGGGACAAAGTAGATAGCTACTATTACTGGATTTAATAACTTCTCCCATAGGGTTATTTTGACTATTAGGAAAGACCTTGACTTGTTGCTCCTTTTTAATACTATGGAAAAATAATTTTCATATTCTCTTCTTATGCTGGCAAATTTGGATGGTAAGATAAAGAATATATTTTCAAGTTTCAGTCCTATTACTTGTTATTCCAGTTATTCCACTTGCTCTGGTTTCACAATTCAAGAAATATTGAAGTGATGCATAGATAAGACAACAGTGGGGCCTGATGCAGAGTATATAACACAACATCAAATTCATGAATGAGCTGAAAGTGGTTCTAAATTAAAATACACTCTTCCATTCCAGAACCGTGAATGGCAACTCTTAATTCAACTAGAGAATGGAAGAAGGTTTTTATACATATTCCTCTGACCAACTTATAAAGTCAGGAGAGCTACAAAACATGAGATCATTCAGACACCTTTTAGACCAACTTGGGACTTGAACTGTTGCACAATATCAAATTCTGAGCACCAAGACTTGAGAACTGGAAATCTTGGAGGGAGTTTAAAGAGCCACATGATTATTAATAACCCCAACAAGTTGTAGAAATGGGCAGATAATTACAGGATGAACTTAATAGACTGACATAAAGAGTAATTTAGAGGAACAGAAAAACAAGACACTATAAATACAAGTGAAAGGCTTGGCTTTGTGGAAAATGTGGGAATCAGTAAACCACAAGTAAAACATGAATTAGCCATATAGTACAGTTGCTTTGTTATTTCTATTACTAAAAAAAACAAAAGTTGTGGAGTATACATGTAAGGGTATTGTATTGAAGAAAAAGGAAGTCATCCCCTAGTCATTTATACAATTATTTATTAAGCACTTATATGCTAGACATTTCTGGGTGCCGGGATAAAACGGGGAAAATGAGAGGATCTCTACTTTTAGGGAGCTCGCTAAACGACAGAGCTAGTACCTTTAATAGTCTTTAATTTGTACTCTGTAGCCAACTTCCGATTTAGCGAATACCGTGAGTTCCTTGAGGTATGGATCCTATTTTTACCTTATGGATTCCTTTCCGTGCACCTTGTAAGCAATCAACACGGATTAAAGCGTAAAAATAGGCCGTAAAAGAGCTAAAATTTGAAAAAGTAAACACTTGTCCGACCATCAAATATGTCGATCAAAGTACGCAGTTTCTTCTTCAGAGTGTAATAAACATCTGCGGACTTACTACACGCAGAATAGTTTTCAACACAATGCTTTGTGTATAAAAGGGATGGCGGGAATGAATTCAAATTGCACATCGTGATAAGTGGCGTGGATAGCCTGACCGGGTGTGGACAGTCCTTCCTCCGCGACGATTTTTTTTTTCTTTTTTTTTTTTTTTTAGCAGAAAGACAAAAGGCTTACGCAGAAGCCACAGCGGTGGGACGCATCGCTATGGCCGGGGGCGCAGACACCAGCTAGCGCGTATTTTTTTTTTTTTTTTTTTTTTTTTTTAGCAGAAAGACAAAAGGCTTACGCAGAAGCCACAGCGGTGGGACGCATCGCTATGGCCGGGGGCGCAGACACCAGCTAGCGCGTACCGAGCTCGTCTGGGCAGCTCGGCGGGCGCGGCTGACCGGCTTCCACCGACTTAGCTCTCAGAGTCTCAGAGCGGACGAGGCGTCCCCCCAGAGGAAAGACTGGGCGCCGCAGATGCCCCTCAGAAGAGTCAGCAGCCACTTGCTCCACCTCGGGTCCTGTTCCTCTTGGGTTCCCCCTGACCATTCAGGCAGGGGCTCCAGAGAGGCCAACGGGGCGTGACTTGGACACCAGGCGCGCCGGGACCCCGACCACATCTACCCGCCGGGCCACAGCCCAGCTACAGCTCAGGGACTTTAAGGCACCCGCGCCCCTTTGTGGCGGGATCTCTCGCCCAAGCAGGCCGGACGCCGAGGCCTCGCGGTATCGAGTCTCCGTCCGCCCCGCCTCCTCGCCTTCCAGTCGGCCCCGCCCTCGAGCTCTCCCTCCTCCCCCGCTCCCGCCTCGCTTCCCCGACGATCTCCTCGCGCTCCCGGCCCGGCACGCCCGCCTGCACCGCTGTCGCCGTCGCCGCCGCCCGCAGTCCCTTCCCCGCGCCGCCGCCGGCTCTGCCGCCACCGCCGCGAGCTCGGCCGCCAGTGGTCCGCGGACTTTGGGTGTCCGGGTTGAAGGTCGGTCCGGACGTCGGACCCAGCTCGGTTCCCGGACTGTCCGGGCGGCAGCGGACGCCGCTGCTGCCGCCTCTTCGTCGCCTCAGCCTGGCGTTTTGTTCCGAGAGACCCAAGAGGCGAGCGGAGCTGACAGTGATTTTGACAGTGATTTAAACCCGCTTTTGTTGTTGTTGGCTTTTCGTTGTTTGGTTTTGTGTGTTGTGAGTGTGTGTGGCGATTTTTCCCCCGTGGTGCATTTTATTTTTTATTGTTGCGCTTTTTTTTTTTTTTTTTTAAACCCCGTAAACGTTTTTTGGTCGGGGCTTCCGAATATGTTTTATGACGGTTGATTTTACACCAGGAGGTTTGTCTCCGAGGAAGACCCAGGGAACTGGATATCTAGCGAGAACTTGCTACGGATTCCCCGGCGCCTCGGGAAAATGGGAGCCGCTGCGAAGTTGGCGTTCGCCGTCTTTCTTATCTCTTGTTCTTCAGGTAGGTGCGGGGAGCGCGGCGCGGCGCGGCGGGGCTGCTGCGGCCGCGGCGGCCGCTACTGACGGCCGCGGTTGCTGCTGGGTCGGGGAGCTCCAGTGGAGTCTGGGCAGGTTTCTCCACACCCCGAGCCCCTCGGCTGCCACCCCCCGGTCTGATTGTGATCTGGAAACCTCCATGAATTTTTCTTGTTTGGAGTTGGGTTGGCGAACTGATAAGAGTGAGCGCTGTGTTGTTGTGGAAGTGAGAAAGTCATGGTTTGTGGCCGTAACACTGGATGACAGAGCTGGTTGGATTGCAGTTAAGCCACAGATACCACAAGTGACAATTTATGCAAAGGTTGAGACATTCTGAATTTCATTTAGTGTGGGCTCCTCCAAACCAAGGGTTGTTTTTTGTCTTTGAATTAATGCTTCACCGGTGAATATCACGACATAGGTGAAGTCAGTTGCTGCTTGATTCTGAGCGTGAGAAACAATGCATCCTATGGGCAATTTAATCTGGGTGTCCCTCACGTTTTCTTCAACTTCAATGTCCAGCAATGTTAAAAATAGTCGTAGTTGATGAGTATTAACTATAACCCAGTGCAGAAGGGGTATGCCGCTTGTGTGTTGGTAATGTGCTGGCTTTCAACCACCATTTGTGTGCTCTTTTCGAGCATAGATTTTGCTTACCTACGGAATACTTATTTTAAACACTTTGTATTGAAGCATTGTTTTCGGTTTAGAGCAGCCCATGTGAAATTGTTCATATTGTTAAATACGGTGTGCTCATACAATAGATTTTAGCCCAAGGTTGGAAGAATAATCTGGCCGTTTTATATTTGAAATTTTGATTTTGTGAGGACGTTCTGTGGTGGCAACCAGTGGTTGGAAAAACTGTCTAGTCTTTTGTATTTGAAATTCTGTAAATGAATACAGCATCTAGCTCAAAGGTGTGCAAATGTACGTAACAGGAGAGTTAGTTTGATAGATGAAACAATTTAAAAGTCACAGTGGATCTATTTATCATAAAATTTAATATTCAGTTACTAGGTTTCGAAATAGAATTATGGGGGGAAAACGAATTGACAGGTTTCATGGCCATGTCTTTATCTCGTTTGCCATAGGGAAATTACAGGGTGGTCTTTTCTTTGTGTACCTCTTGTGTGTGTGTGTGTGTGTGTGTGTGTGTGTGTGTGTGTGTGTGTGTGTGTGTGTCCATCCATCCTCCCCACCTCCTCCCCCCTTTTAATAGAATCTTTTGTAATGTATAGAATTTTGCTGAATGGTACATTTCCTTGTGGTTAATAAATGGATAAAGTCTAGTCTTATGTCTGTAGTGGTATTGATCAGTTCCGGGTGGGCTGAATGTGTTGTGAAATGGCGATCATTGCCAGAGATTAACCAAAAGAATCATGTCTGTTTAAATGGGAGAAGGAACATGCTTAAGGCAGGCTGACAGTTCTTTTTGTGTATGGTTTGAAGAGGAAGCTAAACAATGGTGTGTCTGAAATGAATGAAGGCCTTGAGAACATTAAACCTCTTGCTTTTGTGACATGACTTAACCATATAGTTTTTATCTTTCCCATAGTACTCTTTCTCCTTTGCCCCTGTATGTTCTGGCTGGTGAACTCCTGTTCAAATCCCTTTTACTGATTTACTGCCCTTTAAGAGGAGGGGCATGGTGGCCACTGACCAAGGATGGACATTATTCCCTCCCAAACCCACCTGAGTCACGTTAATTAGCGAAGGAGTTTATTCTTGAGCAGTCTCACGGTATTACTTTTGGAAAAGCAGGCTGTAGCTACAGATCTTACAGCTTCCTCTGCTTGGTTTGGGAGTAAGAAAAACTGAGCATTAGTTTCTTGTAGGATTATTTTCACTGGGCCAGGAGATTGATAGCTAAAATTTTGAAATAAAGTAATTTTGTTGCTATGCAGCATATAGATATTTTACTTATATTAAATTAATACTAAGGATTCTTGCATAGCGTTTTTTAAATGATCATTCTTAGTTGAACTAAAGTATGTGATTCTATTGGAGATAAATGAAATAATCTTAAAGGCCTTAATCCATCTTTATACATGAAGATTCTTAGTACTTAGAATGTCTGATTTTTTAAAGGGCTTTTGTTATGAATCAAATGCACTCTACAAAAGGATTATTATATTTCTTCTAATTGATTTTTCTATGTAATGTGTAATCTGGCACGCTGGAAGCATGAGGGTGGCTATTTTTATGAGAATTAAAAAATTTCTCAAGTTGTTGCTTTTTTGTTTCTGGATATTTGATTTTTTTTTTTTTTTTTTTCAATCCAAGGGGGAAACAGTGGTAAAGAACAATTTTATTCTAGGTGTTTAGAATAGATGTTTACTGTTTCCTTTACTATTTTGTGGACTTCAATTTTTTAGTTTCCCTTCCATGGTATGTATTCTGGAGACTGATTATGGAGACTATTCCTGTAGAATATGGCCAAATGTATAATTTCCTCCTCTCTCTCATTCCAGGGGGAAACATTCTGAATTTTGCTGTCATCCTGGAATGCTTTCAGATTCACTTTGATTTAAAATTTTTTCATTTCTCTTATCCCTCTTCAGATTCTGTTTCAAAACACAAATTTGCTTTTCAGTTTTTTCTTTTTAAAATATTGTGGTTAATTTGTATTTTTCCCCACAATTTGTTAATGTGTGAGGATGAGTTTAATCCTTGCCCTAGTACTTAGGTTTATCCTACTTAGAGTGTTGCAGCTATTGTGGTATTTGAGTTGCATTGAAAGAAGTTGAGAATTCCTTCAGATTCTGTGGAGCTTGGAGCAGTACATATGGTCAGTATATTTGATGAAATAAATGAAAATATAATTATGTTGCATTTTCTTCAGTTCAACTAGGTAATACTGTGTTTGTATTTGTTGAGTATAGGTGTGGTTGGAAGGGGGAGTTGGCAGTATAGAGAATCTTCTGGGATTCTTCTGAACTTTGGCTAACAAGTGATAGATATTAAATGCTTTGTTTTCTAAAAGGCAGAATCTCTTAAATGTTGTCTGTGATCAAATTAAAATATAATACGAGTGTATTTACACATGCAGACTAGAAGAAAAACAAAACAAACTCCCCCTTCCTCCGCCCATTCACTTTGTATTTTTTAAATTTATGATCTAAGTCAGTAGTTCTCAAGCTAAGGTGATATTCACTCCCCCTCAGTAGTTCTCAAGCTAAGGTGATATTCACTCCCCCCCACCCCAAACATTTGGAAACATTTTTGGTTGTCACAACTGGGGGATGGGGGGGTGCTACTTGCATCTAGTAGGTAGAGGGCAGAGATGTTGCTAATCATCCTGCAATGCACAGGACAAAGAATTATGTGCTGCTAATCATCCTACAGTACACAGGACAGCTTTTCACAACAAAGAGATCGAGAAACCCTGTTCTAAACTCTTAATTTTGAAAGCATTGGTATATTAGTAAAAGTGTTCTGCTACCCCAAGCCCACAGTCATCTAAATTTTGTAAGGGATGTTGATGATCTCCAGGTGACCTTGTATTGGAAGTTCTCATTTTTTCATTATCTTTTAAAATTAGAATATGATTAAATTAGAGAAAGAGACTGTAGGTACACACATTATTTCATCCCATTATAGTTTTAGAAAAATATTTTGCTACTGTTATAAATAAACTAATTCTCTCATCACCTATTTTGATAGAATGTTCATGAAGACTGCATGTTCATGGATATGATGAATGATTGATCAAGGTATCAATTTTAATTGTATGTGCTTTTTGATCCAGTATTCTCTTTGCCATAATAATCATCTTTAAGGATATTCCTTTAATGCTTGTTGGAGTCACTGAGCCACATGGAAGTGTACGTGTGTGTGTGTGTGTGTGTGTGTGTGTGTGTTTAACATGTTGCCTGAAAGTTTTAAGTATCATGTGGAAGAAATATGTTCACTGCCACATGTTTCTTGAATGGTTTCAAGGTATAAATTCAGGTTTTTTAAAAAAGGATATTTCTTTTGTCTAGCTAATGTTAATTTCAAGAAACTTTTAAGGTGATTTCTTTATTACATAATTACATAATTTTATTGAGAATCATTAGCTGGGTTTTGGTTACCATTAGACTCGCTTAGGATACACTAAGTAACTAAGTAGTATTCTATAATCTGTTGCAGATCCTTGCCTTTTTTAAGGTTAAATCTTGACCATAATTAATAAGTGCTTACCTTATTTTGAATTCTGGTTTTAAGGGATTTAACCCAGCCAGCCAGGATAAGAATTACAGTGAAGCTCTTAAAAAAATAAGTAGCACTACATCACTGAGAATAAAATTCTGAAGTCGTTCTCACGAAAGTATGCAAATAAGCCTCATGTGGTCTCTGTAACACCCCTTCCCATAACCCTCATCTCTGGTACTATTGACATTTTTGCCTTTTATGTCTACCAGACTCACTGCCCCTTAGAAATAAAGTATAACTAAACCAAATGAGATTTTAATAATTTCTAAATTTTTCCTTTAGATCATAAGACTTTATTTTGTTACATATTTACTTTTGTAAATACTCTTATTTCTCATCTTTGATGTCTCATAAATCTGTGATTTAAATTTGTCTTTTCATGCCCTTTTATGGTGCTACTTTATTCATAGTGTCCTAAGATCATGGTTAGGTAAGGATGGCAACATTTGATACTTGGGTCACCTCCACATTTTACTCTGTTCTATAACTCATCATCTCTTCCATTCCCTTTCATGGTAGCACCCTTTCCACTTTCCTCCTTTCTTTTTCTACTCCCTTTTCCTCTGTCCATCTGTACTTCCCTATACTATAGGTTGCTTGCTTATAGAACCCAGTCATTCCTTAGCATCAAGGATATTTTAGGAAGGCTCAACCATGGCTTAAATGAATATGCATTGATTTTAGAATGCTTAGAAAGATC